TTCGATTTTAATTATTTTGTAGGCGAAACTAGTTTAGATATTTTACAAAAGTATTTCTGCTCATGTACCGGAAAATGTTCTACGAAACATTGTAATTGTATTTTCTATAATTTAGAATGTTGCGCAGTATGTACATGTACACCGGGGAATTGTAAAAATGTTAAAGACGACTTTATTGAAGACAATGAAATCAGCTTATTAGATGGAAATCCTGTTGCTGTTGACGAAAATTTTCAAATTATTGACAATGAAAACGATGTATAAATAATATTATATTTTTATTTTATTATATTTTTCAATGAAAATTGATTATATATTGCTTAATGTATTTCACTGTAATAAAACATTCAATAATAGAGTCACCACGTATATTAAAAGAAAAATTACATGATTATAGCATTGTAAAAAATTAATTTTAATTGTTTTAATTATAATATGTCTATATAAAAATAATTATAAATACATTGTACGTAATATTTGTATTAAATTAATTTTTTAAATCTAAACAAATATTTCTACTCGCCGCACGCCTGTATCGCCGCAACCGCTGTACACACTTAGCGGTAGACTGCTCGAAAGGCATATTCGAAATATTTGAGTCCACGTTTTTAGCAAGATAGAAAAAAATTATCCTTGTCAAAATATTCTAACTTGTACTCGACGGTTTAAAGTTTATAAAGCTATTTGTAGAATTGCAATTCATTTAGTAGTTTTTTAGAAAAAAAAAATCCCAAAAATCACTAATTAAGGCATATTTTCAACAAAAAAATGCAAAAAACTCGAAAAGGAAGCATTTTTCGAAAAATTATCAAGAGAGAAAAAGTGTTTATTTTGATGAGATACACGTAAAAAAATTAATTCTTTAATATCTTTAACTTTTTCTGCTTGTTTTGAATGAATTTTACTTAATCCTATATATTAAAACTGCTGTATTTCAGTATTCGTCTTTTTGTTGAAGTATTGTCTGAAGCATTTATTTTCTCTAAAATCGTCTCCCAAATAATAAGTAACAGTACATACTCAAATGTATCAAGCTTTTTCTGTGATTTGGCAAGCTTATGACCTTTTTAATGGTTTTTCATCTTTGTTCGAGGAAAAATTACGTACACAATGTTTAATTTTTTCATAATACTCCTTTAAAAATTTCACAGCATCAGAAGGAGCAGACCACCTGGTGTCATAAATAGGTTTTGACGTTACAAAATTTTTGTAACGCATTTCACCTATGTGTAGAACTTTAAGATGATTGGCGCATCATATGAAATGGGCAGAAAATATAATGTTTTATTCTGGATTTTAGTTCCTTATATTTACCTGACATATTTAGCGCATTATCATAACGCTGTCCCCGACAATTAGTGATAGAGTTAATGTGGTTACTGGAGTTTTCATACTCCGAAAATTTTTTATGTACATTTTTCCAAACATGATAAGCACGCGAACGCTTGTTCAACCTTGTAGACTTTATCAATCAACAATGCGGTATAATTTAGACACGTTTCAGCAATAATTATTATTAATATTACGTTTTTCTGTTAAATAAATACAAAAATTAATTATAAAAATTAAAAAGTAAAAACCTAATTTTCTGGCCCTAAAAATTATGGGCCCTAGGCACGTGCCTAGGTTGCCTAGCCCTTAGTCTGCCCCTGTCAGTAAGGGAGAAGTGGATACTCTAGATCAGCTTGTTGGTACATATACATGTAAGAGGAAGACAAATCGCTGGCCTATGATTGTTTTTTATAATATGCTGGACATTTTTGCCTACAACACGTTCGTTTTATGGATATCAATAAATCCCCAATGGAACATCTACAAACAAAACGGCGAATTTTTCTTGAGGAATTGGGAAAACACTGGTGAAACCCCTTATCATTTCCAGGAAAAATTTACGAAGAACTAAAGACTCACAAGAACTAGTAAAAACAACATGAACAGAAGCGAGTAGAGAAGATGGATATACTAGTAAACCGTCTATGGACAATCCAACTCCACCTGCTAAACGAGCACGCTGTAAATTTTGCTTTAAAAACGATAACAAGACTATTATTTTATCTTGTATATATGTCACACACATATTTGTAAAACTCATTCTTTTTATTACTGTTCCAGTTGTAAACTAAATTAAATTTTGTAGTTATTTGTTCTTAGGCTTTTCTAGAAAAGAAAAAATGCCTTTTATTTTTGTTAATAAGGTTTAATTTACATTAGCAACATTATTTTTGTTTAATTAACGTTCGTCAGGCTTTCTCAATAGATGTCAAAACCATTTTAAACCTCCTCTTTCTATTCTTTCAATGACCGTTTCAATTGCATTCATGTTATTTCTTATAGATTCGTTGGTCTTCCTTTCTAGCGTTGATGTTCTAACACTTCTTCTCAAATAATCCATTTCAACTGCCAACAATCTCCTCTTTAGGTCTACATTAATTGTCCATACTTCAGAGCCATAACAAAAAACTGATTCAACCATGGTTTGCCCTATTCTTTTTTTGTTCCGTTAAGAATCTTGAGCTAGGACGAGTTGGCCATCCGCAAAGTAATTTCTTATGGGGATTCCCATTCCCTGGCAGTGGTTTCAGTGGAGTGCACAGAATTGCAGGGATGCATTACACAAAATTATTGCAGGAGAATAGGCCGGAGTATATCTCATACGACCCTGTGACAATAATAATTGAGGAATCAGAAATCACAGAGGAAGATATAAATAAAGCACTAAAGAAAACCAAAAACAATAAAGCACCAGGACCAGGGAACATAAAAATGAAACTGCTGAAATATGGAGGCGCAAGGATATTATCCTTTATACGAATGTTGTTCAATAAAATCGAGGCAGGAGAGAAGATTCCCGATGAGTAGAGTTTATCATACATGTCCTTCATTTTCAAAAAAGATGACAAAAGGTCACCAAATAACTACAGAGGGATTAGTGTAATACCTTCAATAGCAAGAATCTTTTCATCAGTTATAAAAGAAAAACTAGAACAACACATGGACCATTATAGCGAAGAACAAGCCGGATTCCGAAAAGCCAGTTCATGATTAGATAATATATTCATTATGAGACAGGCGATTAAAAAAAACAAAGAAAAAAACATTGAAACACATATGACCTTTATCGACTTAGAGAAAGCATACGATAGCGTGCCCAGGAAACAACTATGGGAAGCAATGAGAGGAATGCGCGTTAGAGAGAAATGGGTGAATATAACACAAAGACTGTATAAAGAAACACAAGTGCAAATAAAGTTAGGTAATGAAATAACAAAAACAATCACCGCAACAAAAGGCCTCAAACAGAGATGTGGTCTCTCACATACACTTTTTAACATATATATGGATCAGACTTTGAAAAGATTATATAAAAATACGGAACAATGGGCATACCACTACAAGAGAATATATTACGTTCACTACTTTTCGCAGATGATCAAGTCATTTTTGCACAAGACAGGGAGGATATGGAATATATGATAAGGAAATTAAAGGAAGAATATGAACTTTGGGGACTCAAGATAAATATGTGCAAGACCGAATACTTATGTATTGGACCCGAGGTTGCAGATTTGAACTTAAGTTTAGAAGAAGAAACTATTAAGAGTTGTAAGACTTTTAAGTATTTAGGGTCAATGATTAGCCGAGACGGTGTTTGTATGAAAAATATAGAAATGGAAATAGCACGGGGAAAACAAGCCACAAGAGCACTTCATGGAGTGATATGGAACAACACTCTAACCAAAGAAAACAAGAAGAGGATCTTTCAAAGCATAGTGATGAATATTACTCTATATGGAGAGGAAGTATAGCCAATGACAACAACAATACGATATAAAATAAGGACGGTTGAACTGGACTTTATGAGAAGATGTCTACAAATCACAAGAGCGGATAGAATAAGAACGGAGGAATATGGAACAGAATGGAAGTAGAATGCTCAATTACAAAAAAGTTGGAAAGCACAGCCCTGCAGTGGTACGGGCATGTACAAAGAATGCCAGAGCATAGGTGGCCGAAAAGAATATTAAACTGTGACCCGCCGGGAAGTAGATAGAGAGGAAGACCTGCTACAAGATGAAAAACATACGTCGGAAATGCTATGATAGAGACCTCAGAGAAAGTGACTGGGAGAATAGAGTGCTGTAGAGGACGAAAATGGCGAACTCATAATGGGAAAAGCCGAAGAAGAAGAAAAAGAAGGGTGACATACTGCATCGTTGTCGTAGTCCTTTAGTTACTTTTATTGGCCCTGATGGTCTATTTTCGATTTTTTGGTAAGTAGTGTAATCTCTGTATACTTTTGTAATTATTCCTAAAAGTTATAGACTAATATCAAGTTGTTGTAAAGCTTGCCACAATTTAAGTCTTGAAACTGTACCATACGCCTTTTCTAGGTCAATGAAAGCTACCGAAGTACAGTCTATGTACTTCGGTACTATCTGAACCTATGAAGATACGCCCTAAAAGAGACAATCTATCCAGTCCCTTATGCTCAGGATCAGCATCTTGGTCCACTGGGCAACATCTTCCCTGTTGTTCCACTCTTCTTGCCATCTTTCCATTAATATTTCTCTTTCTTTTTTTTATAGCTGTTGTCAAATGCTCTCTTCTCTCATAGAGATGCCTCTTTTCTACTGCTAACATATGCAGAGGAACACAACCAGTGATAGTCCACAAGGCCGCCACAGATAAAGTCCTGTAAGCACATGCTATTCGTAACAGACTCGTTCCATCTATTTTTGTCATAAGCCTAATATTAGGTATTAATTATTGTGTATTTGTCCAATAATTATTGTGTTCTACATATTTAACGTGGTAATTTAGTTATTCAATTAGTGTTTTGGATTTTTTGTATTGTGTGTGAAAGACAGGTTACATTTTCCTACTATTCTTTATATATTTTTTACTTTATATGCCCTAGGGGGAGGTTTAACCCCCAAAAGTTCCCCTGGGTACGCCACAGCCTAGATGGCTGAATAAAAGAAAAATAAAACGCGCTTAGTAAAAAACAATTCTTTAATAAAACTTTGGTGTAATAAAATATAAATTAGTTTAACCCTTTCTGGGACTATCACATTATTAAAACTAGCATCCATTTATATCTTCTTCAACAATTTGAACTTCAGGTGTATATATTTGAGATTTTTGTTCCAACCACATTACTGATCTAAAAAATAGATAAGAAATGTAGAATTTTTTTATATTATTTTTGGTTTACTAATCCCTAAATTATCTTTGTTATTTGCTAATATTTTAATACCAATATATTCATATTTGTCACGTAGAAATTCCATTTTTCTGTACCAAAAACTTAACGTTGCTCTATTTTTAGAATCTTGGTTCTCATCCCGTATCGGAAATCCATGGACTGGCAATTAATCCACGGTCAGACTCCATTCCAAATCCATTGGATTATAAAAACAATGGTTTTATACAGTTACAAGGCTCCATAATCTAATGGATAATCAGAAAACCTGATACCGCTGTGACATCGTTAACTTTTTATCCAGTAGCCCTACATCGAAAACACATTTCGCATGTGTTTAATGCAGGCATTTTTCTTTAATATTAAGGCAAGTTTTTTACTTTCGAACTTTCAGCTATTTGGTTTTTGTTTGGACCTTCATTCATTTTTTAGTCCTTTAGCTACCTCTTGTACAGGACTTGCTGTAACGTAGAGACAAGTCAGGCAATTTAGTCTATAAAATGTATGTTTAAATTTTTGTGTAATGGTTTATGCTTTGATCTCTCTTGTGATCGTTCTTGCTACCAATATTTGTCAAGGAATCAGCTCAACTATCTCGGATAAGAGCTCAGGGTAGGGAACTCCATGATTGTTTTTGTGGTGGTGTAAACGAGATACTTTAGCTAAGGGTGACCTTCTCACGAAATGGTACAACCCAGGTAATTAGCACCTTACACTCAATGTACTTTTGACTGCACTAATTTCTAAACGGGAATACTTTAGAAATATATTGCAATTCTTGACTTCTACAAAAATAGATAAATAAATACAATCAAATGTATACTTACAGTACTAAAGTAATGGTTATTGCCAATAAAGAAATGGAAAGCAGATTATATAACGCAGAGTTAATGTAGATCGTATTATTATATACTAATGTATATACAGGTGTTAAAGCAGCAGAAACCAGAGCTCCAGCTCCTACGACCATTGCGAATATCTTACCAACTTCATCGGTTGGTACTAAGCGGGATATATTAGCTCGCAGCATGGGAGCGACCAGTCCTCCCATACATTTTGAAGCACCAGCTGGAACAAAAACATTAAATTTTATGAGACAGTAGACAAAAAACACTCAGTAGTGTGTATGTGTATGAAGAAAGTCATGTATCAATTGAAGGGTTTGGAATAAAAAGGGTATAAGTGCGTTTTTTTTTAAATATGAGATAAGTACATATTATAAAATTTAATATTCTATATTTTTAGAATAATAAGGGTATAAGCTTCAAACATAACATATAGTGCCATCTACGAGCTAGTAGAAAAATCTACTAAAGAAATCTTCAAAATGTGTTGGAATAGAAAAGGTATAAGCATTACTTATACCGTTTCTATTCCAAGCGACGAAGCGATTCCGAGATTTCCGAGCATAGTGAGCTTTGTTAAAACGTGTTGCATTAATTTTGTGTGATCTACATCTACATAATATGGAAAATTGTACAGGTAAATTGTTTTTAGAAATATTATTGTGTATGTATAATACGAATAAACGTAAATATTTACCCTACAGAATAAGTAAACAGTAAAAAAATTAGGTTGTGTTTCTGATTTTAAAATTATTTATTTTTATTTTTTAAGATATTGAAACTGCTGAAGACCCTTATTCCACCGATAGCGGGAGTAACTACAATCCATCCTCTGAAGAAGAAACTCTAGAAAGTGATAGTTCAGATAGTAATCAAGATGTTTGCATTGGTAAGTGTGGTCCAGTATATGTATTAGTTATGCAGCCTGTTTATTTATATGATAAAAATGATATAATATTAAATTTGATATTGTAACAAAAATGGATTGGCTGGAGCGCCAATATAACAAGAATGTGTAGTGTAGCAATAGGGTAAACTTTAAAATGTACCTTGATACACCAACGAACTAATATGTGGACTAACAGAAGATGAAAGGGATTAGATAGAAATAAATTATGCGAAAGAAATAAATAAAGGATAAGTATGAATTTTTAAAAAATAATAAAATTAATGCTGGCTAGCGACTATGCAGGAGAATGACCACTTGACAATCAAAGAGGGATTCGGCCAATTTGCATGCCCTACAGAGACCGTAAGATGTAAGAATTAATGACTAGAAACTACCAAGAAATAAACAGAAGAAAGATAAAGTTGCTCTACTGAATGTTTGGGCGCCAGGAAGTTGAAGGTTTTCTTCCAAGATATCTTGTATTGCTGAAATATTAAAGGATAGGTACCAAGTGAAATCTTAAATTGTTTTAACCCAACTTTAATAAATACCTATATAATGTACAAATTATTTTAAACCCTTATATATAACAATATAACCCAACACCTCTTATATACAATTAACTAATCTATATTTACAATGAAAACCCTGAATATAATGATGAAAACAATTTCCCCCCTAACGTACCTATTAATGTTAAATTTTGACTAAGGTTATGCAATGGTTAAGTATATAATATAAAAAGAAATATATAATAATATAAACGTTACAATTATCAAATAAATGAAATAAAACCTCTCCGGATATGTGTGCACACTATAACCTGATAACGAGAGAGTCCAGGGGAGTTACAATCTCAACCCTTGGTGGACAATAAATGTTTTACTAAATTAAGTTACAATGATTAATATTTTATGAAAAAGTGAAGGTAATTATTATTAATGAAAAGTTAAAGCCTTGAAGAGGAAGTTAAAAGTATTATTACAAATATTTAAATGAAAAAAACAAAAAAACAAAACTAGTTCTTCCTGCCGGTTTCTTTCTCGGTGGACCTGGGAGGTGGTCAGGATGAAGAACTAGATGCAGGTGGGTAGAGGTCCAAAACTGGACTCCAATAAAAGGTACTGAGACTTTTTACTCTTTAAACTAAAACCATAGAATTCTTCCCCTGTGTTTAAATCCCCATAAAATTAAATTAAAAGTGTTTCTTCCCTCCCCGACTTGTCCTGGAATCCGTAACTAGGCTAAAAAAACACAGTTGTGTTACTACAAAGTCCTTTGTTCATACAAGAAAGTAAAGAAAAACCAAGAAATGTCAACACGTTGTTTCAAATTGAAGCAAAAACTATAATGTGTTTCTTTGAAAAAAAATAACCTTGGGACTGTATGAAAATGTTTGGATATATTAACCAGGTAATTTTAAGGAACGCCTGGTATATAGATTATAGAATCGAAAAAAAAGTATTAGCCGGTTTAAACGGTATGGAATTATAATAGATAATTGTTGGTTTTCATACTTGTAAAGAAATAAAATTATAAAAATTTATTACTTGTAATCTGTTGAGGTATTTAGGAAATAAATGGAATAGTTAAATAGACAGAATGTATTTTGAAAGAGGATTAAAGAAATAGATTTAAATTTCACCAACAATGGCGGATGATGTGACATGTTTTTATATATAATTTATTTATAATTTAAAACTCACCGGCTGTGGTCCAAACTTAAAGTGTTTTCCCAAAACAACAAAATAACAAAAAGGCTTCTTCCAACACAACTGATTTTCCAAAAAAAATAAAAAAATTAAACCAAACTCATGGAATAAAGATGGCCCCCACAGCCGCCTCTGAACACGTCGGCTCACTTCACGATTCCAAGACCAAGTAACGATCACACGATGTTACGGCGGAAACGAAGTAGAATTTTTACATAGAGGGCGCAACTTGCTGCCAACTTTTAGGCATAAAATTTACTGAAGTTATTTGAATTTTAAGCATATTTCAAAATGAATTTAATTTATAATTAAGTTAAAGGATTCCAGTGACAGGACAGTAAGTGGGTATTTAAGTAACGGACTCGTTACATTCCCCTCTTACTTGGAGAAAAAAAATTTTTTAAAGTAAAAAATTTGACTGATTGGTTAGATGTAGGTTAACCAATACTTCAACCATATGTGGAGCAATCAAGAATCGAGGAAAAGACATATATAAAAAATTATAGCCATGGCAACAATTTGCCAAGTACAGCTATAAACTATATTAACTCACTAAAATACTTCCAAAACAATCTACATCGATTCACACGATTATAATTAACCACAGATTATGAGTGATGTAGAGATAAAGAAATGGTTTCATCTAAAGATACCCACATGTAACTAAGTAAGAAGTCACATACTATTTAGAGTAAAATTAAAGTAAAGTGAAACTCTAACATAGCATAGTATAGACGAGTAATACAAATACTCAATACAAATAATCCAAAATAATGTGAAATCGGACCCTGGTTCCAAAATTGACTCATCAATGGACAACAGATTTATAGAAGAGCATATCCAAGGAATAATCAATCAGGCAAATGGGTGGACCGATACACAATAATAAGTAACAATAAAAATACCAAACGTATATAAAATAATATACGTAACAATAAAAATACTAAACGTATATAAAACAATATAAGTGTCGAATTGGATGGTAATCCAAAATTGACCATACAGTGGACAACAGATTTATAAAGTAGCATATCCAAAGATAATCAATCAGGCAAATAATGACCCAATTCACACTATAACCAAATAAACCAAAAAGGGTAGGTCCACATATACCCACATCCGGTAATATGTGCCTAACCTAAAAATTCATCAAGTAAATTATTGGATCAAAATGTGGGACTAATGGCCTGAACAAAAGGACAGCCATAAAATCGATTCCATCCTGATGATATGCCATCAGTACATTTGGGATCCAAAATAGAGACCAAAAATAAAAACTAGGAGGTGTTATAAACTCAATCATCCTAGCAAATGCAAAGTTGAACAACTTGAACTCGAAAAGGTAGAGTACCAAAGCATGTGAACTGCTGTGGTAACTTCTTACAACAAAATTAACTTATGCTGATATTCGATAACTATAGCAGGTAGCTACAACAAATTTATAAGAATATCTAACATAAGAGCACTAAAAGGAATTTAATGTGCCAGTAAACTCCAACAACCATAACTAAATAGTAAGAGTAAGGTAGAAGTAATAACAAACAGAACATCAAGAACGAGTAGACCAATTTCTGAAGAAACTGCCAATTTATAGGTCGTTCTGATATTAATAAAAGAGAACAGGATAATTTCTTGTTCAATATACCAAAAAAATAAATAAGTGCCTAAGGAAAGAAGTGAAAATAACTATAAATGGTCATTTGTTGTCAAAATATGAAATACTATTCATAACTGTAATCTAAACTTGCTAGCTGTACAGGGAATATGTCATGGATTGCTTCCTCCAATAAACTATATAAGTAAGAATAATAAATCAGCTAAGGAACAATTCAGTTATTAGACCAAAGTCTGAAAATATTAAGGAGCTAAGGAGCTAATAAGATATTAAGGAGCTAAAATATTAAGCTAAATATTCAAATCCTAATTAACATTAACAATGGAAGACATTCTACTGCCTAGATAACTGTACAACTTGTCATGAAAATGTCTCCGGAGGCGTGTCAAGCAGAAGCTGACCGCCGTGCCGGACGCATTTAGAAATTCGGAGAAATACTTGGAAATTCCAAGTGTGGGCAAATCCGAATTTCTAATTGACTCGATGCAGGGAAATTCCATTTTTGCTACGTAAAACAAAGGATTTGTTTTATATAAAAGCAGATGGAATTTCTCTCATCAGTCAGTCGAGCTTGCCTCTTCTACTGTAGACCTAGTCGGTGCTATTATTGTTCCAACTAAGTTATTGTTTTATTTCTTATTTCCTGATAACCATTTATATTTTATTATTGTATATTCAGACCTTTTCAGGTTAGAATATTACTTTGACTTATATTTGTTCATATACTGATTATTTGATATTTTATTTGATTATTTTGATTGTTTATTTTTCTTGTATTTTGTATCTAAGTTGTTCTTCCGTAAGTTAAGAACACTTAGAAATATTTACCTTACTTTTTTCTATTTTATAAATTTGATTTTGTACTTTGTGTCTAAGTAGTTCTTTCCGGTAAGTCAAAGAACTCTTAGAAATATTTCTCTGATATTTGACTTGTTAATTTTATTGTGTGCCTAAGTCATTCTTTTCCGGTAAGTCAAAAGAACACTTAGAAATATTTTCATAATCAT